GCGCAACCAGATCTCCTCGTGCAGGCTGCCCTGCAAGAAAGCTGTGTTGAAGTCATGAGAGTGGAGCTCGTAGTCGCGCTGAGCGGCTATGTGCAGTAGCACCCGAAGAGTGGTCATCTTTGGGGTGGGAGAGAAGGTCTGAAATTAGTCAACTCCCTGCCGCTGACTAAAGCCTCGAGCCACGTAACGCGCTTTGAAGACAGGCGGAGAACCCAGCGACCGTTTCACCCAGAAAAGCCCCAGGTGGGGGAACCTCGTCGACATATGTGCCTGTGGACTTCCAGGAAGCCATCTTTGCGTCCATGGCTGCCTGCCACTAAGAGGAGTAGGGACCCTCGATCGCCTCAACGTACGATCGAGGAGTGGGGATGTCTGGTGCATCCAGATCTCCCTCAGGGGCAATCAGCGTGGACACAAGATGAGGTAAAGCAGCAGCAAAACACTGGAACTCCTCCTGCCTGTCCTCAAGGACGTCCGTGCTAAGAGCACACTCACCCTCGACGGACGGAGGACAGACAGACTCAGACTCAGCAATGAGACTGGCAGCGTAGTCTAGACGACAGCGAGCAGCGAAGTCGACAAGCTCAGCAACTAGGGCAGACGCAGCAGTGGACTCAAAGGAAGGGTCACTGACAACAGTAGCAAGAAGGCGCATGACGGAAGGACTAGCAGCACGAAGGGAGTCAGAGTCCGGGTCAGCAAGAGTAGGAAGAGAGGACTCTGGAGGAGACGGTAATGGGACACGCAGAGGAGCAGTGGAAGGACGCAGTGCCATCTGGTGTGCGCCGGGGACCGTAGGAGGACGCGGATGCGCAGCACGACGACTAGCGCGAGCAGCACGAACAGGCGACGCAGGACGAGACGCAGGCTCACGACGCTCAGCAAGACCTCCAGTATGACCAGTGTAGGGAGAAAGAGCAGGTAGAGGGGAGGCGGGCTGTAACTGTGACTGCGACTCGACAGGCTGTGGACACTCTAAGGAAGGAGCTGGACCAGGAGAGGGCGGGAGACCAAGAACTTGCTCCAGGAGCGGAACAAAGTACGGCCTCGGCCGCTCAGCGCCTCCTGAACCAGCAAGGACGGCACTTGTACCCCCAGCGGCAGCACCAGCGCCAGCAGCACCTCCAGCTCCACCAACGCCAACTCGAGCACCCTCAGAAGCACCAGCGCCTGCAACACCACCAGCGCCAACACCCCCAGCAGCTCCAGCTCCAGCAGCACCAACTCCAGTAGGACCGTCAGCTCCAGCAGCCTCAGCAGTACCCCCAGACGCACCAGCGCCAGTAGAAACATCAGCACCAACACCCCCAGCAGCTCCAGCTCCAGCAGCACCAGCATCGCCAGCAGCTCCAGCAGGACCAACTCTAGTAGCCCCAGCAGCACCCCTAGTCGCAGCAGCATGTCTCAAGCGGCGGGCAAACCACTCGCGCAGCTCCTGTGGAAAGAGTGGCTCCCGCCTCGACGAAGCACCGCCGGCGGCCACACGAGCAGACCCAGCGCCCACAGGCTCGGCACCCTTAGGCTCCGCACCTCTAAGATCCACACCCCCAGGCTCAGCACCCCCAGGCTCAACACCCCCAGACCCAGCACCCCCAGGCTCAGCACCCTCAGTCTCAGCACCCCCAGACTCAGCACCTCCAAACCCGACACCCGCAGGCTCAGCACCTCTAGCAGCACCAGAGTCAACAGCTACCTCGACAGGCTCGACTGCGTCTACGTGGGACACACCTGACGGGGCAGGACCCTGAGGGGGGAGGGGGTCTACCAGGGGAGGACCTGGCGCAAGGAAGGCGGCGGCGGGGGGAGGGGCGCAGTGCGGTAGGGGAAGAGACGGTAGTAAGGCACCGACTCGTCAGAGGTGACGTCCTAGGAAGACAGAACACAGCGCGAGTTGGGGTGGTAAAACTGCCACCCAGGCGCGTCAGGGGGGAAGCCTAGGAAGACGCAGGGAAAAGCACAGGGGGACAGCTTGTCCGCGGACAAGTCGCGGACAAACGCCCGAGATCCCCAGACCCGAAATGCAAACTCATTGCCAACCTTCCCCGTCCACCGCAAGGTGGGGGAGATCTCTGGCAAGGAGACCCGGGGCTGAAGGTTGAGCTGATGCGCTACGTACTGAACCGCAAACAACCACAGAAAATAGGGAGCAGCCGCATGGATCATGGACGTACGAGCGACGTCCATGACCATGCCAACCCGGCGCTCAGCAATCCCATTTTGCTGTGGAGAGGCCGGAAGCGTGAAGGTCTGGCGGATGCCCTGTGCTCGACACAAGGCTCCTAGACGGGCAGAGGAAAACTCCCCGCCTCTGGCAGAGTGGAGACGCAGAACAGGAAAGTCCGAGCCGAAACTCTCTCTGAGCTGGAGACGAGCTGCGCGGATCTAGTCGATCAACACCTCAGTGACGTCACCCTTGCTGCGCAAGGGGAAGACTGTGGTGTAACGCGAGTAGTTGTCAACCACCAACAGGAACCAACGCTCGTGCCCCTGGCCACGGACGCAGGCGGGGCCCCACACGTCGATGTGAAGAGTCTTCAGCAGAGCCTCTGTCGGAGGAAACTCGGAGGAGTGAGGGGCGGCGCGCTGTCGCCCCTCGACGCAGGGGACGCAGGTAAGGGCATGCCCCGGAGGTAGGGGAGGGAGAGACTGGGGGAGACCAGAGACAAGGACACGGGAGGCCATGCCTCGGAGACGAGGCAGGGAGGGGTGACCAAGGCGGTGGTGCCAAATGAGAGTCTGGTGGGACAGCAGACGACAAGAGCAGGGAGCAGACTCAGGACCAGACTTGGACGCTGCAGCAAATCCCTGACTCGACGCAACTACCTGACCAAACTCAGCAGGAGGAGGAGACTCAGTAGTAAGTGGGTACAGGCTCGACCCCGGCCGACAGGTGAACGTGGCCAAGTGTCGGCCTGTCCGAGCACACGTGCTGTGGGTCACCCGCTAACTCGCAGGAGTGAACTGGTCAACCCCCCTATCCTGTAGATCAGCACCACTCACCAAGTTCGTAGAGAACGAGGGGAGGTAGAGACCTGACAGGGTGCCAGAGGGGGCTGCCGGGCACGGTAAGACAGTGGAGAAGCTAGCAAGGACAGGACCCCTAGAGGGGTCCGCCAGGGAGATCGCAACCGGCCGACTAAGCGTCGTAAGCGTGGTGCGGTCTCGAAAGAAGGAGGGGGAAGCACCCGAGTCAAGGGTGAAGGTGTGTAAGGCCTGAGCCGACGTAGTACCTGAGAGAGCAGACTCACCAGCACCTGGGGCAGCAGACGCACTAGCACCTAGAGCAGCAGCCTCACCAGCACCTAGAGCAGCAGCCTCAATGCCCGGGTCAGGCGGAACACACAGGTAACAGTCACCCTCAACACTATCAGACACAGCATACATGGCAGCAAGAATAGCAACATAATCAAGATCAAAGATAGCAACCCCCGCCCTAGACAGCTCTCCCCAGCGAGGGATCCCATCCACGCGTTCGTCAGGCGGCCGAAGCAGTGCTGGCTGGAGTGCGGGCCCCCGCACTGCTCACCAGCGCGGTCGCCGGCACGGAGGACGTAGGTGCAGGGACCAGTACCACCACCGCGCTGACGCAGAGCGTACCACTCTCAAAGCTGTTGAGGGGACAGGGTCTCACGACTGTGCTGCTGCTTCTGGCGCGTACCACCACCGGACCCACTCCTCTGCGCAGAGCCGCGACTTGCTCCATCGCTGCAGCCGCTGCCTCCGCCACCTCCGCCGCCTCCGCCGCCTCCGCCGCCTCCGCCACCTCCGCCGCCTCCGCTCCCTCCGCCACCGCCGCCACCTCCTACGCCTCCATTGCTTCCACCGACACCTTCACCCCCGCCACCACTCCCACCACCACCCCCACCCCCTCCACTGCCTCCACCGCCACCTCCACCGCCCCCGCCAGCCCCTCCAGCGCCCTTGCCATCCTTGCCCTTGCCGGTGCGGCGGCTCCTGCTAGGGGTAGGCGCAGCGCCGACCGACTCAAAACCAACGAGGTCGGCCGCAGCAGTAGAAGCAACAGAGGGCAAGAGGAGGGAGGGGGAACACCCCTCAAAGACGGGGATGCAAGGGTCACCACGAGAGGCTCCTACAACGACTATGCTCTTCTCTGTTGCTAGGAGGTGCTCCTTGAGGAGGTCAACGGTGAGTGTGGTGTGGCAAACTGAGAGGAAGTGGTCCCTGACTAAGCGAAGGGAGTCAGGGAGCCAGGTGACTATGTAGTAGAGGGTGATTTACATTGGGGGGGGGGGGGGGTTCTTGGCGCAGAACTCAGCAGGAAGCGCAGTGCGGTAGCGAGTTTCACTAGTGCGGAGGTGCGTAATGAGGTCAGCGACTGTGGGAAAGGCAGGAAGGTCAGGGAAGAGGTACGGCAGCATGAGTCGGCTAAGCGCAGCAGTGTCAGGGGAGGAGTAGCGTGCAACTACAGCGTCGTACAAGGTCTTAGCACTCTTGTTTGTACTGTACTCTTTCTATACCTGCACTTGCTTGTTTACCTTTATATATATGATCTTGCATGTGAACTGGCCTTGTGGCCTTACTCTTGTGCTCGGACTGTGTGGTGACTTTGTGATCCACCCTGAGCTTTGCTTTGTTTTGCTTGACTGGTCTTGTGACCACTTGTTCTCCCCCACTTTGCCTATGGGGGTGTGTCAGAACATTATAGCTTATACATTTGTGTAGGTTGTAGTGGGGTAGCCCATAAGGGGTACAACCCAATTAGGGTTAGTACTTGTACCCAACTCTTTCATAGTTCATTCATTCTCGTTTCTCATCATTGTAACTTGGCCTTGCAATGGAGCCACCTGAGGGCTGGCTTTCAACCAGAGCCATGCTACACACTGTCCTCGCCAATTTCACACCCCGTCAGTTCTTCCTTAAAGCCAAACTGACCTTATTTGGCTATAGGGGGTGAGACACCCACGAACTAGAGGCTATTCGACTGCGGGGCGAGCTATCGAGAGAGCTTCGCATCGGATGATGTTGACCAGATCGATCGATCATTGCGGATGGCGGTGGAGGGCCTCCCACGTGACATCCTCTCTCTCTTCCCCCCCTAGCACTCTTGTGTCTCTGCTGCCCCTGATTCTCTTATCACAGGAGTGAGCCGCGTCTTGGAGCTTCTTCTTCTTCTTCTTCTTCTTCTTCTTCTTCTTCTTCTTCTTCTTCTTCTTCTTCTTCTTCTTCTTCTTCTTCTTCTTCTTCTTCTTCTTCTTCTTCTTCTTCTTCTTCTTCTTCTTCTTCTTCTTCTTCTTCTTCTTCTTCTTCTTCTTCTTCTTCACAGTCAGGGGCACCGTGGGGACAGCAGCAGCAGCAGGGTGGGCTCGGTCGAGGGGCTGGTGGGCAGGAGGGCCGAGAGTGGCAGGATGGGCTGGCTAGTGGGGGAGAGGAGGGGGGACAGTAGCGGCAGCAGCAACAGCAGCAGCTAGGCCAGCAGGGGAAGGAGGGGCAGACCCGTAGGGGTGAGGAGAGGGGACAGCATGGACAGCAGCAGCAGGGCCAGCAGGTGCAGGAGGGGCTGGCTAGTGGGGGAGAGGAGAGTGGACAGCAGCAGCAGCAGCAGCAGCAGCAACAGCAGCAGCAGCGGCAGCGGCAGCAGCAGCAGCGGCAGCAGCAGCAACAGCAGGGCCAGGAGGGGCACCGGTAGCAGGTTTGTAGGGGAGAGGAGAGAGGGCAATAGCGGCAGCACCAGGAAGGTCAGCAGGGTCAACAAGGGCGGCAGCAGGGGGGTCAGCATGGGCAGCGGCGTGTGGGTCAGCAGGGGCAGGCTGGGTGGGAGGAGGAGAGGAGACAGCAACAGCAGCGATGACAGCAGGAGGGCCAGCAGGGGCAGGAGGGGCAGGCCAATATGGGAGAGGAGAGAGGACAGCAAGAGCACCAGCAAGAGGGTCAGCAGGGGGAGCAGCAGGAAGGTCAACAGGGGTGACAGCAGGAGGGTCAGTGGGGCCAAGCTACTAGGGGAGAGGAGAGAGGACAGCAGCAGCAGCAACAGCAGCGGCAGCAGCTGCAGCTACAGCAGCAGGAGCTACAGCAGCAGCAGCAGCAGAAGCGGCAGCAATAGCAACAGCATGGCCAGCAATGGCAGGAGGGGCATGTTGGTGGAGGAGAGGAGAGAGGACAGCACAACCAGCAACAGGAGGTTCAGTAGAGACAGGAGAGGCCGGCGAGTGGGGTAGAGGAGAGGGGACAGCAGGGGCAACAGCGGGATGGCCAACAAGGGCAGGCCGGGCTCCAGGTCCAGGGGGCGACCCAGCCCTTGGGTGCGGGCTGGTTCGGGGAGAGAGGGAGAGAGGAGGTGGCGGGGGACACGACGGCGGGAGCGCAGGGGTTAGGAGGGGAGGGTATGGAGGGGGGGATAGGGCGAGGGTGCTGCGGGGTTTGGGGTTGGGGAGAGGAGATGGGAGGAGGCAGGTGGGTGGGGGAGAGCATAGAGAGGCAGAGACGACGAGGAGGCACAGAGGGACCAGGCACAGCAGCAGCCAGTACAGCAGCAAAGGCAGGCTGGACGTACAGGCCGCATAGGGGCATCAGCCCGCATTCCAGACCTGACTTGTCGCGATATAGGAAAAACTTTGATGGTGTTGGTAGACGTCTCCATTGCAGATCCACAGCAACAGGGGAATACTGGGCTTAGACAAGGGGCCCCGGTGCAGAAAGGGTGTTGCAGCATCAAGACGAGTGCAGGACAAGTTGCGGGATTGGGCACCGCATCTAAAGGGATTACAACTGCCGCCACATTTTCATGCTTGTGTAGTGGAGACGTTTGGGTTGCTCAGCGAGCCAATGAGGCAGTTTCTAGAGCTTTGTGCGCGGCGGATTGCACACCGGCGTAAAGACTAGGGGGGGGGGGGGGGGGGGGGGATGACGGGTCAGCCCGGATTTTCGAGACCGGACTCACTACACGACTTTCCGTGGCACTGCAGCGAGCGCAGGCTCATAGTATTATACAGCATGCGGTGTGGCAGTTAGGAGGGTCAGACGATGGGTGGATGTCCGCACCAGTCCCTTTGGGTGCAGGGCACGGCAGTTGGCATCACATTACTGGCTGCTTTGAGAGCGTGGCATGTCAAACATTATACATGTTATGCTTGTGTAGGCTACAGTGGGTAAGCCTATAGGGGGTACACAATTCTAGGGTTTACTACTTGTACTCATTTCACTTCTAGTTCATTCATTCCTGTTCGCTTATTCTCACATGGTATAGAGCGGGTCCTTCTACGGACCGTTTTTTTTTTGGGCCCACCGAAGCGCCCCCCGAGGCGCGATTTTTTTTAGCGACCCCTCGGGTCGTCATTTCCCCTGCGGCCCCGCCGCCTTCACTGACGCGGCCCCGCCGCCCTCTCTGACGGGGCCCCGCCGCCGGCCCTTACGCGGCCCCGTCGCCGGCTCTCATGCGGCCCCGCAGCCGGCTCTGTCGCGGCCCCGCCCCGGCCTTTACGCGGCCCCGCCGCCTGCTCTCACGCGGCCCCGCCCCGGCTCCTTCGCGGCCCCGCCGCCTGCTCTCGCGCGGCCCCGCCCCAGCTTCTACGCGGCCCCGCCCCGGCTTTCACGCGGCCCCGCCGACGGCTTTGTCGCGGCCCCGCCCAGGCCCTTACGCGGCCCCGCCGCCTGCTCTCGCGCGGCCCCGCCCCGGCTTCTACGCAGCCCCGCCCCGGCTTTCACGCGGCCCCGCCGACGGCTCTGTCGCGGCCCCGCCCAGGCCCTTACGCGGCCCCGCCGCCTACCCCCGTCGCGGCCCGGTCGCCTCCTGACGGCCCCGCCGTCCCTTCGTGACGGCCCCGCCGTCCCTTCCTGACGGCCCCGCCGTCCCCTCCTGACGGCTTTTGCCGTCCCCTTCTACCGGCCCCGCAACTGCACCTGCTGGCCCCGCCGCTGCACCTACCGGCCCCCACCACCCCCCCCCCCCCCCCTTTTTCCCGTCGCCTGCCGAGCCGCCCGAGCCGCCTGTGCCGCTGACTGCCCGAGCTGCCCGAGTCGCCTGAGCCGCCCGAGCCGCCCGAGCCGCCTCCCCCCCCCCCCCCCCCCCTTTTCCCGTCGCCTGTCGAGGCGACCTGAGAGGCCAGCAGAGGGGTGGCAGGTGTGTGGCCTCCCCTGCTTCTCCTCCTCCTTCATCTCCCACTGCAGCAGCCGAGCCGCTCACCTGCAGCAGCCGAGCCGCCCCACCGCCGAGCCGCCCTGCACCCGAGCCGCCCAGCAGCCGAGCCGCCCTGCCGCCGAGCCGCCGGGTCGCTGAGCTGCTGAGCTGCAGTTGCTGCCGAGCCGCCTTGCCGCCGAGCCGCCCGAGTCGCCCGAGCCGCCGAGCCGCCGAGCTGCCGAGCCGCTGAGTCGCCGCGCCTACTCTTCCCACCACTGGTGAGCTCTTGCCCTGCTAGCACGCTGCGCGTCGCCTGCTTGCCTGCCTGCCTGCCTTTTGGCTTGCCTGGCTGCCTGCCTTCCTGCTGCTAGTCCTGCTCCTGCTTCTACTTGCGGAGCCAGATGCAGCCCCAGCGACGCCTGCGTGAGTCCCTCACGCCCCAGCAGCTGCGTGAGTGGTACGCTGGTTGGGGCTGTAGGGGTGGCGACGCTACTCCTACTACCACTCCTGCTGCTTCTACTCGTGGTGGCGGCCAGATGCAGCTCCCGCGACCCTCTCGCGTGTCTCTCACGCCTCGCCAGCTTCGTGAGTGGTACGCTCAGAGTGGAGGGTCTCTCAGTGCTGTTCGCTGCTCTTACGTGATTCGCACTGGTACTCGGACTGGTCAGCCTTGTGGGACACATAGTCATACACAGTCCCGCTGCTTCGCCCGTCTGAGCGACGCCTGGCGTACCGTGTTTGGCGACGAGGCTGAGCTTCCCGACTGGGTGGAGTTGCTTAGGCAGAGGGTAGATAAATATGCTCTTGACTATGATGCTATTCTCACTGCCATGTATGCATTGCCTACTAGTGCTGACCGTGCCGGTCACCTGTGCGTCCCGCCTGACCCAGGTATAGGACCTGCTGCTCTAGCTACTGGTGAGGCTGCTGCTCTGGGTGCTAGTGAGTCTCCTGCTCCAGGTACAGGTGCGGCTGCTGCTCTAGGTGCTAGTGAGTCTGCTTCCTCAGGTCCGGGTGAGGCTGCGCTCTCAGGTACCGCGTTGGCTTCGGCCTCCCTCACCTTTATACTTGACTCTGGGGCTTCTCGCTCCTTCTTTCGGGACCGCACCACACTCACGCCGCTTGGTCGGCCGGTTGCAGTCTCCCTGGCTGACCCCTCTGGGGGTCCTGTCCTCGCTCACTTCTCCACTGTCCTCCCATATCCGGCTGCCCCCTCGGGCACCCTGTCTGGCCTGTACCTCCCCTCGTTCTCTACGAACTTGGTGAGTGGTGCAGACCTACAGGATGCGGGGGTTCACCAGTTCACTCCTGCGAGTCAGCGGGTGACCCACTGCACGGACGCACGCACAGGCCGGCACCTGGCCACGTTCTCGCGTCGGCCGGGGTCGAGCCTCTACACCCTGACCACTGAGTCTCCTCCTGTCCCCGCGTCCGGTCAGGTAGCAGCGTCGGGTCAGGTGTTTGCTGCTGCGTCCAGGTCTGGTCCTGAGTCTGCCCCCTGTTCATGTCGCCTCCTGTCTCACGAGACTCTTCTGTGGCACCACCGTCTAGGCCACCCCTCCTTGCCCCGTCTTCGGGGCATGGCTTCCCGTGTCCTTGTCTCTGGTCTTCCCCAGTCTCTCCCTCCCCTTCCTTCGGGACCAGGACCTTCCTGTGTCCCCTGTGTCGAGGGGCGCCTCAGGGCTGCTCCTCACTCCTCCCAGTTTCCCCCGACAGAGGCTCCTTTGCAGACGCTTCACATGGACGTGTGGGGCCCGGCCCCCGTCCGTGGGCAGGGTCACGAGCGCTACTTCCTGTTGGTGGTTGACGACTACTCGCGTTACACCTCAGTCTTCCCCTTGCGCAGCAAGGGTGCTGTCACTGAGGTGCTGATCGTCTGGATCCGCGAGGCTCGTCTCCAGCTCAGGAGGAGCTTCGGCTCGGACTTTCCTGTTCTGCGTCTGCACTCTGACCGAGGTGGGGAGTTCTCCTCTCGCCTTCTGCGAGACTACTGTCGTGCACAGGGGATCCGCCAGACCTTTACGCTTCCGGACTCTCCACAGCAAAATGGGATTGCTGAGCGCCGCATTGGCATGGTCATGGATGTCGCTCGTACGTCCATGATGCATGCGGCTGCCCCCCATTTTCTGTGGCCGTTTGCGGTTCGGTACGCGGCGCATCAGCTCAACCTTCACCCCAGGGTCTCTCGGCCCGCAATGTCCCCAGTGTTACTGTGGACGGGGAAGGTCGGCGATGCGTCTGCGTTCCGTGTCTAGGGATCTCGGGCGTTTGTCCGCGACTTGTCTGCGGACAAGCTGTCCCCCCGTGCTGCTCCCTGTGTCTTCCTTGGCTTCCCCCCTGACGCTCCAGGGTGGCAGTTCTACCACCCCTCCTCTCGTCGTGTTCTGTCCTCCCAGGACGTCACGTTCGACGAGTCAGTCCCCTTCTACCGCCTCTTCCCCTACCGTACTCCTTCCCTCCCCCCCCCACCGGACTTCCTGGTACCAGTTCCCCCCCCGGTAGACCCCCTCCCCCCTCAGGTTCCTGCCCCTTCAGGTGTGTCCCAGGTAGACACGGTCGAGCCAGTCGAGGTTGCTGCTGAGTCTGGTCCTGCTGCGGGTGCTGAGCCTGGGGGTGCTGCTGCTGGGGGTGCTGAGCCTGGGGGTGCTGAGCCTGGGGGTGCGAGGCCGGGGGGTGCTGAGTCTGGGGGTGCTGAGCCGGGGGGTGCTGAGTCGGAGGGTGCTACGTCAGGAGCTGCTGAGCCTGGGGGTGGTGGGCCTGGAGGTGCGGAGCCTGCGCCTGCTGGACCTGGGGGCTCTCCGGTTCTTCCGTCTCGGCGGGAGCCGCTCTCTCCGCAGGAGCTGCGCGAGTGGTTTGCTCGCCGCTGGAGGCGTGCTGCTGGAGCTGGAGCTTCTTCGCCTGCTGAGGGTGCTGCCGGTCCCGGAGCTGCTGGGCCTGCGGGTCCTACTGGAGCTGGAGCTACTGAGTCTGGGGGTGCTGAGTCTGGAGCTGCTGAGCCTGGAGGTGCTGAGTCTGGAGCTGCTGAGCCTGGGGGTGCTACGTCTGGAGCTGCTGTGCCTGGGGGTGCTGAGTCTGGAGCTGCTGAGCCTGGGGTTTCTCCTGCTGCTGCGTCTCGCCGGGAGCCCCTCTCTCCACAGGAGCTGCGCGAGTGGTTTGCTCGCCGCTGGAGGAGTGCTGCTAGAGCTGGAGCTTCGTCGACCGTCGAGGGTGCTGGTGCTGCCGGTCCCGGAGCTGCTGGGCCTGCGGGTCCTACTGGAGCTGGAGCTGCTGAGGGTGTTGGTGCTGAGACTACTGCTGTCTGTCCTGGCGGTGGTTCTGCTGCTGGTGCTGCTGGAGGTCCTGCCGCTGGAGGTGTTGGTGGCGCTGGTGCTGTCGCTGAGGGTGCTGGTGCTGTCCCTGCTGAGTCTGGAGTTGCCGCGCGGCCTCGGTCGTACTTCGTTCCGCTCCTACAGCA